GGATACACTTTTTCATTGAGCTGGTCTGTAGAATTTTGTCCAGTATGTGGCTTTCCTGTGAAGAAAGTGAACTGGACAGAGACTAACTTCAAAAACTTAACAAAGATTCTTCGATGTGTGTAGAGTTTGCTCTAATTGTTCAAGGTCCCTGGAATATTTGTTTTATCGGGAATAGGATCCGACTTCAAGGTTAGTGTAATGAGGATAGCCTGTGGCTGGCCCTCTCAATGCTACCCAAGACTAACTTTATCTGTGTTCCTAGCCTCTAAATAAATACAGTATGAGACCTCAATGTTCCCTTGTTAGGACTTCTAATTCTCATTTCTTTTCCTTTTTCTGTTTCTGTTTCCTGTTCTTCCCTTTAGGATGAGTGGCAAAGAGGCTTGAAAGAGCTACATGCCGACACTATTTCTAAATTAAAGAAAGCACTCCCGGGTTTGGAGAAAGAGGTATTCACATCTTCCTTTCTTTTCCTTTTGGATACTATCGGAGTCATGATGGAATTGTTATTGAGGTGATTTGGTACATAATACTGGATGATACTTGAAAGGAAGAAATATTTGTTGGTACTGATCTTGCTTTTTGTGTTTTTGGATAGTTGATGACCCCACCCAAATTTGAAGATTTTTATGCATATGCATTTCGATACTGCTTGACAGGTGAGCTTAGTCTTGAGAGGCATTTCTTTTTCTTATATTAAGTGAAAACCTTTTTTTTTCATGGAAATCTCTTTGTCAAATTGGTTAAATTTTCAGAAGAAAGGCAAAAGAGTGTAGACATTGAGACTGTGTGTGAATTACTGAATCTCGTATTGGGTCCCCTATACCGTCTCCAGGTTGATTTATTAGTTAAGTATTTGAAGGTATGTAGCTGTGGCAGCTGTTCATGTCCCATTTCTCTTTTCTGTTAAGTAATTGGCTCCTCAACACATTTGTTTTCTGGAATAGGTTCCACAATTGTTCTTTGATGCTCAGTTTTAATTTTGGCAGGTCCAAAGTGAGTACAGAGCATTAAATATGGATCAGTGGTTACATTTTTACCGTTTTTGCAAGGAGGTAAACCTATTATTTTTGCTTTTATTTTGTCCAGAAATTCTAGTTCATATGTTTCTTTGTACCTTTTAGCTTTTTGTTGTTGAGTTGCAGGGCCTGGAAAGTGGCCCTGGTTTTAAGATTATGCAATTAGATGAGTTTCTTGTTTGGCTTGAAATCCTAACCATGATTTTGGAAGGCTAAACTTGTGTCAGAAAAGTACAAAATTATGATAAGACTATCCATTCGTGTAAAATAATTGATAAGTACGCAATCAGTGAGTTGTGTGATGAATCAGAATGCACTCAGGAATAATCTCAAGTCTAATTGACCTATTTGATGGTTTAAACTCTTAAACACCAAACAATAGCCCAGAATGGGAATATAAAAGTGAAAACCTCCATTCGAGGGATATTACCTCTTCCTGTACCTGGATCTAACTTTCTGACTTCTATAGAACCCAACACCTCTCTCTCTCTCTCTCTCTCTCTCTCTCTCTCTCTCTCTGTGACTGAGTTGTTTTAATTCAATGAATCTTTACTTTTGGCAGATAAGTTTTCCGGACCTTCAAAACTATGATTCGGATCAAGCATGGCCTGTGATTATTGATAATTTTGTTGAATGGATGAGAGACAAGCAAAGCTAATTTTGGCATCCTCCTTCTGTTAGAATACACTGCTGACCTATAAGAAGGTATATGAATTCTCCTCTTTTTATATCTTTCTTTTCTTCCCATTTATTGGGGGTGGATGTTGTAATTTAGATTGCTTCATTGATTTTCAAACTAGAAGAATGGTTTAGATCCACATTTGTGACTTGACTTTGGTCTGTTTGATCGAATTGCAGGGTTTGGCAAGAATTCCGACTATGGTTTTAACTAACAAACGATTTGCGCTTGCGGTTTTCTTCTAGGGGGTGGTTTGGAGAGCTGGCTCTCATGAGAAATGCTGCAGTTTTTGTGATGAGAAAATTTTGCAAGAGTCTAATTATATAAAAAAGTTTTGCACTCTGTTTATTTTCCACTGCCCGTATTATTTAATTTGTGGTTTTCTTCTCTGAGCTGCTATGAATTGCAGCGTCAATTGATAAAATTGTTGCATAGAATTTTTTATATAAAAAGAATGATAATAGTATAACCAATTGCGATGAGCATACTATGATTGATGCATTCTAAAATCTTTGGATAGGAAAGGGAAAAAAGAAGAAGGAAAGACTATCATGGATGGATGGAGTATTTAAACATTCGTGATTCTTTGAATTGATTGAGATGAACTAATTCATAATCGAAATCGAAATTAGGAGTTGAATCTGGCTACCACCCATCAAGTTCCATAACAATGACTTCAAAATTTGGTAACATGGACGACTACATGCAGGCCGCACATTTGTATTGTAACTTGTCAGCCTACTTATTATTGTACGCAAACAAACAATTGTACATTTATTTTCCTTTCATAATGTAAAATACAAATCTCCAACCTACTTTAATTAATCCTCTACCACACATAAAATAAATTGGGTTCAATTCAATAATCACTAGTCACTCAATGAATCGATGCTTTATATATATATTAAACACAAAATAGCTGCGAGTTTCTATATGATCTTCAATTGGGAATTTCATCCTAGATGGCTGAAATCTCCCTCAAAATCGGAGCAAGATAATGTAGGAGATGTAACACTCTTCCTCATTCGTCAAGAATCCATGAATTTGAAGCTGTAGTTTAAGAGAATGTACATATTAAGAATGAATTATTTTGGAAACTAAGTTTAAGATTAATGAAAAGAATCTTAATTATCATCAAGAAAAAGTTGGTGAATTTACCTTGCGCCGAAATCTTCCAGTCGCTATCATATGTGAGGGCCCAAAAGAAGTATCCACGAAGCCCAAGGGCTTGAGCATACCCTATCTTGGAGGTTGTAGTAAACGCATCATCAAACGAAACCAATGAAGACCCGTTAAAAGAATATACTGTTATAGTGTCCACGTCATACACTACGGTTGCGCCCGACTGGTTCAGCAGTGTCTCCACCTGGTGGAACGACAGCTGCCCACCTCCTGGGCCTGGCCCAACAGCAGTAGCTCCAATACTATGATTATTTGGGTCTTTGAGCTCCCATGTCCGGCCGTAGAGTGGCAAGCCCATAACCAGCTTCTTCGGGGGTATCCCGGCCTTGATCCATGACCTAAGCCCGTATATGGAGTTTACGTTACTCTTCGGGTCAAGCAATGCTGCATTGGGCCCTGTGGTATTGCTCCAAGCCCCGTTATAGTCGAAACACATTGCATTAATCCAGTCCAAGTATTTATTCATGTGTGGCATGGGGTAGGAGCGGCGGACATTGGCCAAGAAGAAGTCGGCCGAGAAGTAGACGGCGGCGGTCAGTAGGAGAGGAGGGCGGGCTGTGGATTGAGCCTCTTTCTTGAGTGCGTGGCGCCATTCTTTGAGCAAGTGGCCCAAGTCCTTCATTTCTTTTGGGCTTTGAGGGAATTCCCAATCAAGATCCAGCCCATCAAACCCAAACTTACGTGCAACCTCTATGGCAGAGTGTATGAAATGCGAACGAGAGGAGGGCTCCGAGGCCATGCGAGCAAAGATTTTAGGTAGTTCTGGGTCATCTCCGCCACCACCTAAGGACAAGAGGGTCTTCACTGGTGGATGTTTGTGATGGAGGGTGGTGGTGAAATTGGAGAGAAGCAAATCTGTTGAATTTGACAAGTCAAATTTGAAAGTGACATCGTTTGGCACAAGAAAGGCATAGAAGATGTGAGTGAAGAATGATGTGTTTATAGCTGAAGGTGGGAAATCATCTGACAACCATGAAGGATAATAGGCCGACTTCACAGCGGGAGGAGGGTGCGAAAGCGAGTCTGCCATACAGCCAGTGTTGAAGATCATCAAGGAACATGAAAGCAAAAGAATATGCACCAAGTCATTGAGGCTTGCCATTTCTAGGCTGTGAGCAAAGTAGACTGAGTACCCAGTGGAAACTAGGAAGGGCTATATGCTATATATATTATTCGAAGCTTGAAACGTATTCGGTGTATAGTTTTTGTATTTATCCACCACAGCGTGCATTAAAGAAATAAGAATGCATATAAAAATGATGGAAGGGGTTAAGCAAAACGTTAGCCTATATAATCCAGAAAGTGGTTGTATGTAATTTAAGTAATTTTGAGTTAAGAATTGTCGTTGTTTTGACTGCTACTAGTCCTATCTATTCTATTCTAGAAATTAAGCCGTCCCTTATAACTTATTCAGAGCAGTGTTGTGTTGTAGAATTAAAAACAAGAGAGTCGCATTCAACTTATATGTATATATATAGCAGTGTTCTATTTAGTTCTAAAATTAAATAGTCATTTATTTACAACAGTGAGAATATTATATTATCAAGTGTCCAAAGTTTGATTTGGTGGATTTTGTGGTCGTCTCTACATTTGATGTATGCTTGTGGAAATGATCAATGCTTGGACAGGGAAGTCACGACTAAGCAGAAGCTCCAATCATAACAACACAGGCTTCACAAGCAACTGGTTTTTAAAACCAAACTTAGAACGACAACATACCATATAATGTTTACTTTAAACCACTTGTCTTAACTTAATTGCTGTCACTAATTTTTATAACGGTCGAAATCAATGATGAAGGTTGTTGTTAGGAGAGGCCATTGTTTACCCCTTTAACTTCTGACAAAAATGCTAATACTTCTCATTTGGTGGTGGTTTTCTTTTGGAACAGGGCTCCGAGTGGACATGTTATTATGTTGTTTTTCATGTTCAGTTGTGTTTGTCTGGGAATAGTGCAGGCTGGATTTAAATTTTTTTTTCCTGAAGTTTTTGTTTTTGTTGTATAAAAGAATTTTGTACAAACAAAACAAAAAATTTGGCATATCCTCCCCTTGGTCTAAGCCTAACCACTAGTTCAATGTTCAAATGACTTCCTCATCACCAGTTCCCTCCCTTCTCTCTGCACAGGAATTGCAAATTTTTAATTTAACAAAATATTGTAATGTTTACAGCATGTAGGCCTCCAGATGAAGAATCCAAAGTTGCTAAAATCTTTTATACTTCGTAGAGTATATGACCACCCACATTCTTGAGCCTAAGAACTCAACCATTGAAAATGAAAAACTAATGTCTCCTATCCTGAGCCTGTAATTTCATCGGGGTTGCAATTCGGAAATTTGTGCATCATTAACTGAACAACTTCCTTGCTGCGATGTAGATATGTTTTCCATACTTCTATTTCCTGAGAAAGCCATCTTTGTAGGAGTGGGAATGGGTTCAGTATCAGTTTTGAGCATGGAATAAACTTCCAACATTGTAGGCCTATCCTCCGGATTTTCCTGGACACATAATAGAGCTACTTGCAAGCATCTCGATAATTTACAAGAAGAAGAAGAATCATCCAGTGATGGATCAATAAATTCTCTTCCTTTGTCCTCTTTCCAAGATAGATATGCCTGAAATAGTTTGAATGTTACTTCATATATAGTTTAGATCTAAGTAATAGTTTACATTAGTGGTGATAGAATCATAGACAGCTATGGAACTTACATATTGCAAGAGGTGCAAGCTTTTGTTCGGACCATAGTAACATGTGCTCCTCCTTCCACTAATCATTTGTAAAAGTAGAACCCCAAAGCTGTAGACGTCGTACTTCGTAGAGTATATACCTTTTCTTACATATTCAGGAGGAACATAGCCACTGCATTGCATACCACAACAAGTATTAAAGGATATGAGCATGTATGTGTGAATAACCAAAAAGAGGCAGTTTACTTACTATGTTCCAACAATCCGGCTTGTGTTTGCTTCAAGTTCATCTTTTCTGAAAAGTTTAGCCATTCCAAAATCTGATATCTTAGCATTCATTTCGTGGTCAAGTAAAATGTTGCTACCTTTCAGATCTCGGTGAATAATTGTAAAATTGGAGTATTCTTGAAGATATAGGAGTCCTTGGGTAACCCCTTCAATGATGTGCACACGCTTTGTCCAGTCTAGAAGATACCGTCCGGTAGGATCTGCAAGATATCAAATTCAGGACCAATGAGGTAGGCAAAGGAGCAAGAGACTGACAAATTACAAGTCACATGTTCCTGCACCATAAGCTTAGATGGCTTAACAAGTGATTTTTGTTTGCTTAATATACAGTAGTGTTGGCTCAGTCCTCAAGAATATGCTTGTCGAACTATTTGGAGAGTTCCAATAAGTTTAACCCCCCATGTTTACCTCTTAGAGGAGATGTGAAGAGTCTTAAGACCCACTGAAACTTAAAGAATGCAAAAGTATTGTGTTATTCTACCCTGCACTCTCAACCATAACAGGAAGCATGAAAAATTGCAGACCAAAAATGTAGAAGTCCAAGCTTTTGTTGGGCATGTACTCGTAGATCAGCATTTTTTCTTCCTTCTCAGTGCAAAATCCAAGAACTCGAACTAGATTTACATGTTGTAGTCTTGCAGTAAGTGTAACCTCATTTCTAAATTCCTCAAGTCCTTGAGTTGACGTTTTCGAAAGTCTTTTCACTGCGATTTCGTGTCCTCCTCGCAATTTACCCTTGAAAAATTGAAGAAAACCATGGTTAGTTTAGTTAGCATGGTTTAGTAAAAAGAAATTCCAGATTTATATCTGATCAAAAGATGAATCTACAAATGGTATCACTCTCACTGTTCACCAGAATGTACCACTTAGTTAACACAAGGTGAAGGTGACTCTGCTTTCAGTTGTTGATAAGCTTTTGGTTCAGCGTGAGGGGAATTAGTAGCCAATGATCATAGACACAGCTTTAACCCTAAATTCTTTGTTTCCTTTTCCTTTTGTAAATAAAATTCTTTTCTCCTTTTTCTTTGACTACTATCCTAATCTTCCTACTTCTGGAGTTGGCTCTATTTCACTCTTATCTAATCCTCAATTACATAGTATCTTGGAACCCTTGTTTTGGAAGGTGGTAAATGTTACCATGTAAACAGGACCAAACCCACCCTCTCCAAGCTTGTTTTCACTTGAGAAGTTATTTGTTGCCGCTTTGATATTGGAAAAGCTGAATGCTTGCAGATTTGGAGGATCACTGTTAAGAGCTGATGTACTAGTAGTAGTAGACCTTGAATTTGATAGATTTGAATTCCCAAGAATAATCATCCCTGAAACCAGAAGGGAAAATAATAAAAAGTGAAAATGCAATTGCCAAACTCTTGATGTAATGGTTCGAAAAGAGAATTTATCTTCGTCTAATTGCTATTAGAAGCAAACACTAAGTACAGTTGAGAAAAATAACCTTTTATCTTCAACAATTTTCTTTGTAAGTAACACACCACGAAGGCTATGAGGATTATGACCAACGTAATTGGAAGCAAAACTATAAGTAATAACCGCCGCTTGTTTTCTTGATCATTTTCTTCCTCTTGAACTGTCATTTACTAAACCAGTTAGAAGTAGAATAAATGACTCTCCATTAGAAAATAAGTTGATTTATGCAGATAGCCTGCTGTCAAAATTAAACTTCCTTCAGGATATAAAATTTAGTTTTATGACATGTCAAAAACATAGCAACAAAAATCACTTTGGCCAACCTGCCCGAGAAAGCGCCCAATCGTCATCATTGGTGACTTGAAACACATTGGTACCAAGTAGCTTCTTCTCCTTGACATATGCAATCTTAGTTCTGATAGATTCCACATCATCAAAACCAATCCAACTCGACCCTATGATGCAATAGTTCACAACATAAGTAGCATTGTACACTATGGGAGCTCTGTAGCTTCGAATGTACCGCTTGATGTACATATAGCTCATGGATCCGTCTTTCGTCTCAGCTGTGCCTGCTGCAGGTGCCCCAACTCCATTATTGTCTTTGGGGTGCACAAGTGTCCACGCATAGCCATGGTAAGGCAAACCCAAAACCAGTTTGCTAGCAGGAAATGAGTTGTTTAGCCATTGCTTTATACCATAGTCGGTGTTAACATGGCTTGACGGGTCATATAAAGCAGCATGAGCACCAGTGACATTCTCCTTAGAAGGCAGATGATAGTCATATGCCATAACATGTGCCCAATCCAAGTTCCTCTTCATAGATTCAATTGGGTAACTCAACGATTCGAAAGCAGGCAAATAACGAATGGCCATTGTCAATATCAACCGTGACTGATCACTGGAGTTTCTTGACTCAGAATTCACAGCAGCTCGCCACTCATCCAATAATTTTGCCATGTTGATCATATCAGAGGCTGTGTTAGGCCAAAGCCAAAGCAAGTCTATACCTTGAAATCCATAAAGCCTTGCTGTTTTGATTGAAGACTCAATGAAAGACTTTCTGTTAGAAGGTTTGTTGACCATTGAGGACAAGACTGAATAGTTAACTTTCTGACCCAAAATTGATTGAGCTGTTGCAGCTTGTCCATTCCAGATGGATAAGAGTGTTATGACTGATGGGTTTTTGCGCTTGACGACACCGGTGAAGATGGAGAAGGATGGCTCTTGAGAGAAAGGGATGGAGAGCTGGTAGGTGGAGGAATTCAGATCAGCAGAAGCACAAATAAGATGAGTGAACAAGGCAGAGTTGATGTCAGGTATCGGAGACTCGCTACCGGCGTACCAGTAACCAGCTCTGATCCAAGTTTGTGCGGAGGAACAAGAATAAAATTGGGATGAAATAAGGAAGATGATGAAGAGGATAAGGGGAGTGATATTTTTTGATCCCATGGACATGGACATAAAAAGCTAGTTTGATTTTTCCTCGTACAAGATGACTAGTTTCTACTACTACGTATTAATACATATATATATATATACATGGCATCATCATCATGTGCAGTGCAGGATATGGGCAGATATTTCGGTGTGACTTGCAACATGTCTTGTGGACAGTGGAAACAACATCTTCAGTGCCATTTTGCAAAACCTCAATAATGAATGAGACTGAGAGTGAGAGACCACTTACCTACCGTTCCTTATACGTAATTGTGCAAGGGCTTTGATCTAAGCAGGTTCGGCCTAACCTCTGCATTAAGTTCTTGTGAAGTGAACGATGAGCACCCACCATGGTACCATGATACCTACTGGACAAATTAATGTTGTAATATTTGGATTGAGCGTGCACTCCATCCACCAGCCAATCACTCAAACTCAAGCCCTCCTTCTCTTTCTAACCATAAGTCAGCATGCCGCAAGCTACACTTATTAAAACATCATCACCAGCCCAACAAATTAACCAAGCCCAAGGTAAATAAATGCCCAGCTCATTGAAATGATATTGTTCATTTGGAGAAATCTAGAAAGGTGGAGAAGTCTTCACCGACTATGCAAAGTCAGCAACACTTTGATCAATTTGCAAGATAATTCTAGAAAAGTAAAAAGTGAGAAAGAGTGCTTGTAAGAGTTGGTCTTTCTTATGAGAGTTGTCTTGTTATAATATTTTGTGAGTTTAATACAAATAATTTATTTACTTATTTTATCTCCAACCATTCTATATTAGAGTTGTGTACTCTAATTTTCTTAACATTGTTACTTTTATCATAAGTCTCTAGAAATTCCCAAGGAAAAGTGATCCTCTTTTTCTGGCATGAAAGATTAAAGTTGAAGATGTGACATGGAAAACTTTTGCCACCAAACTTTTTCTCTCTTCTTAAATGCCAAAGCAAATTGCATTACGGTTAAGGAACCTAATATTCTGACTATCATATAAAACTTTGCCTCACGAAAGATATGCGCCCGATTTTTATGAGTGTGACGATGAAATGTTGATTTCTTGGACCTAATATTTTATATCCCCTTTTTAATCATAGAAATTTAACATACTATTAATTAAAGGTTTAAATAATTCAAAATACCACTATGATTAAAAACGGCACCGGTGAAGCTGGAGAAGGATGGCTCCTGAGAGGAGAGGAAGGGATGGAGAGCTGGTAGGTGGAGGAATTTAGATCAGCAGAGGCACAAATAAGATGAGTGAACAAGGCAGAGTTTATGTCCAAGTTTGTGCAGAGAAACAACAATAAAACTGAGTTCTTCGTGGGAACGACACTTCACTTATTTCTATATTTCAGAGGAACGAACTCTTAGCATATTACTAGCAACATCGATATTGTCCCCAACTTGACCACTTATTTAGCAAGTGTGGGGGGTCTCAATGTTATTAAGAGTTGAGCCATTTATTATATGAGACTTTCTATTTTGTTAAGTATCCAATGTGGGATTGTGTGTATTCTTCAACATAATTTATATGAGACCACTTACCTTCGGTGTACGTGATCTAAGCAGATGTTTTATAGTGGTGGCCCTAGTTTGGCCGTACCTCTGCATGGCTGCCTTGTTTACATTTGCAGGAAAATCATGATATTGGTGATAACAGTAGAGAAGAAGAATGAAAAAGGAAGACTAAAGAAGCAGAAGAGGAAGCAGAACAGTAAAGAAGAAAGCAGAGATTATTGAAACTGAGAATTGTATATTGATTTTCGTAGTGATATTACACTGTAACAATACAACCTTTATAGCTAATAACAATCTCAGAAGCTAAGCAACCGACGAACAACTTGTTTAACAAATCTGACTTAGAGCACGTGTCATCCATGTGCTCTTCTAACAAACTCAGCTGACCTGGACATTATAGTTATCATTCCCCCTCAAACCCAGCTGATCTGCTAAGTTGCAGATTTCTGCAATGTCTCAGGAAAATAGGACCATGCAATCCCTTTGTGAAGATGTCTGCTACTTGTTCTTCAGTGGGAATATACTGCATAATCAAGTCTTTCTTTTGTACCCTTTCCCGTACAAAATGAAAATCAATATCTAAATGTTTGATTCGAGAATGAAACACAAGATTTGAACTTAAGGCAAGGGCTGAAAGATTGTCACAATGTATTGTAGGAGGCTGTGGTAAGAATACCTTCAAATCAAGTAATACCTGTCGAACCCAAGCTAAATCAGCTGTTGTATGAGCCAATGCTCTATACTCAGCCTCAGTGGAACTTCTTGAAACAGAAGTTTGCTTCTTAGACTGCCATGAAACTGGATTGTTGCCAAGAAACACCACAAAACCAGTAGTTGACCTGCGAGTATTCACATCAGAGGCCCAATCTGCATCACTGTAAGCATGAAGATCCCAAGATCCACTTGTAAAAGTCAGACCATGATCCAAAGTACCATGAATATATCTCAAGATGCGCTTAACCAACTGAAAATGTAAATCTGAAGGCTGAGTCATAAACTGACATACAGTATTAACAACAGAACAAAGATCAAGTCGGGTGAATGTCAAATACTGCAGTGCTCCAACAATACTTCTATAGATGGTTGGATCAGATAAGGAATCACCCTCAGAAGCCAAAAGCTGACAATGTGGCTTACATGGAGTAGTACAAGGTCGACATGTATCCATACCAGCCTTTGTAAGTAAATCTTTAGCATATTTCGTTTGACAGACAAAGATATCTCCATTATTATTATAGGAAATCTGTTAACCTAAGAAGTAGGTTAACTTACCCATATCTTTCATTTCAAACACAGCACTTAATTCATCAATAACTTCTTGGACTAAACTATCTTTAGAACCAGTCAAGATAATATCATCAACATAGAGTAGAAGAATGACACTATCTGAACCAACATGCTTAAGAAAGAGACTTGGATCAGAATGAGAAGCAGAAAAGCCAATGGCTGGGAGATAACCTGTGAATTTCGCATTCCAAGCCTGGGGTGCTTGCTTTAGCCCATAAAGAGATTTTCTCAATCAACAAACATGGGTTGGATATGCAGAGTCTTCAAAACCTTGAGGTTGGCGCATAAACACTTCTTCTTCAAGGTCACCATGAAGAAAAGCATTTTTCACATCAAGTTGTCTAAGAGACCACCTGTTCATAGCAGCAATACTCAAAACCAATCTAACTGTTGTATGCCTTACAACCGGACTAAAAGTCTCACTAAAATCTAGACTAGGAGCTTGACTGAAACCTTGTGCAACCAAGCAAGCCTTATGTCTTGCTACAGACCCATTTGAGTTCTTCTTGACTCTGTAAACCCATCGGCTACCAACAATGTTTTTATCCACAGGCATAGGAACTAAATCCCATGTACCTTGAGTGTGCAAAGCTTCAATTTCCTCCCTCATAGCCTGTATCCAAACAGATGACTGAGAAGCAGCTTTATAAGTAGCTGGTTCAGCAGCTTCATGAAGGGATGGAATAGTAGTAAGATAGCATTGATAATCCTCAAATGGCTTAGTCTTGACAATACCACTCTTAGACCTTGTCTGCATAGGATGCATAGGAGGAGGCATAGATGTGGAAGAAGATTCATGAGAAGGCAAAAGAACTTGTAATTGTTTATCACTAAGGACTTGGAAATTCTCTGTAGAGTCTGCACTCGAAGCAACTAAAACTGGATCACCACCAAAAGATGCAGAAACATGGGAAGGGACATCAAAGGAAGCTGTTGGCGCTAAATCTGAACAGATAGAGATGAAGAGATCGATTGGATGTTGGATGCCGATTCTTCCTGTCCTTGGATGCTGATCCTGAATAGAAGATAAGCGAAGCTCGTAAAGTCTTTGGAACCGGTGTGGAACCAGCCTAAGACCCTCCGATGCCGAAGTAAGTTTGTTGTTTTAAGAGCTCTTGCTGTTGACCATATAGAAGTATAAAAGTCAAGCTGAAAAGTCTTACCCCTGTATTGTAGTGGAATGTGCATATTTATAGAGGGCATTTAGTATGCTCTTAGTGCTCATTTTCGATGTGGGACTCGTGGGAGGGCCCTATGAGGTTGACACGAGTCCTTAGATATTTCGGGCTGGTGCTTCGAGGTTGATTCTACAGAATCGGTAGGGGATACCGATTGTAGGCTGTGTTGGGCTTGTAATGCTCTTTTGCTGCTTTGAGACAATATCATCAGTAGCCTATGCCGATTGTCCGAGGCCTTGGGTGCTTGGGCGAGTTTATGAGATCCACGTGTCGTTGTACGAGTGGAGGGTCAGGTATGGTACAAACAGAAGCAAGATTAGAAGCTGGACTAGAAGCCAAGGAAGGCACATGGTGTGAAACAGAAACTATAATAGGTGGAGCCTTGGAAGAAGATGGAGGACAAGAAGAAAGAGTGCTGGATGGAAGTGAAGGCTCGGAGTGTTTAAAAGGAAAGACACTCTCATCATGAACCACATGTCGAGAGAGAAGAAATCGGTGAGTAGAAGTGTTATAGCATATAACACCTTTATAACCCTGAGAATATCCCATGAAACACACTGTATAGTCCTAGATTGAAGTTTATGTTCATTAAATGGTCTAATATATGGATAAACAGCAGTGCCAAAGACCCTTAGATGCTGAAGAGGTGGAGGCTTGTCAAACAACTTCTGAAAAGGAGACTGATTCCCAAGAACAATACTAGGCATGAAATTAATCAAGTAAGCAGCATGTGCCACAGCATGATACCAAAACTGACCAAGAAGGTTGGCAGTAACTAACAGAGTCAAGGCAGTTTCTATAACATGGCGATTCTTTCTCTCAGCAAGACCATTTTGCTGAGGAGTTGAAGGACAAGACAACTGATGAATGATGCCTTTTGAGTCAAGAAACGAGGCAAATTGTGAACTATTAAACTCACCACCCCCATCACTTTGAAAATATTGAACATGAGCACCAAATTGAGTACTAATAAAGGCATAGAACTTAAGAAAGATTTCAAAAACTCCAGATTTATTGAACAGTGGATAAAGCCACAGGAAACCAGTACATTCATCAACAAAAGAGACAGAATAGCGATAACCATCTATGGATTTATTTCTAGAGGGACCCCATACATCACTATGGATCCTTTGAAAGGCTATATTAGACTTAACATGCTCACTAGGAAAAGGCAACTTATGCATTTTGCCGTGCAAACAAGTAGAACATAGGGCAGAAATAGAATCAGCAGAAACAGACACAGCAGAGGCTTGAAGCATTAGTTTCACAACTTCATTTGTTGGATGACCTAACCTTTGATGCCAAAGAGAGGACTTTATTTGTTGGCCAAGATAGGCAACTGGAGCAGAAGAAAAATAGGAGGCACGATTCAAGATAGAAGAAGCAGCTAGAGGAATGTGATAGAGACCTTGATTACTCTTGCCC